TKRATTTCCTGATCTTAGCACTTGGTCCCACAGCCACGTGCAGCCTTCTCAGTTCTGGGCATGTGTTGGTCACACAGCCCAGCGCAGACCAATTCTGGTCTGCGTGGCCTGGGGCTGAGTTCTGGGCCCGGGCTACTTCTGAACAGGGTTACTACATTGCAGTCAAAGTAGCAAAAATGTGCTTGGTCTGCAATATTTGAAGAAAGGTAATGGCAAGTATAAGAGATGAAAAGGCAATACAGTGATTGAATAATAACCATCAGTTGAAAATGACTGTCTGTTCGAGTGTGGTGGCAATGACTTGTACACAATGGGAAGCTGAAATGTTCCCACAAAGCATCTGGTAGCGCTGCAGCGATCTTTGGGATGAGCCAGGAAGCTGTTGCAAGGAAGACAGATGTGGCACTCAATTGAGACTATAGTTTTAACAGGCAGTGTGATATCGACCGCACAGACGAACAGGGGCACTTAATGTGTTTTCAGCTCGTAGTACCGATTAGTTTTTGGATCATAGTAACAGTCAAGAATCGGGTCATACAGCAAGTCCAGGTGATCGTCTTTGTCTGATGACTCCCTGTTGTCACTTGCAGTCAACACAAACAGAATTGCAATGAATCACGCAACTGAACCATATATAGCATCTGCAACGTGCGTACGTGCATGCACATCTCATCACCATCGCATTCACTGAAACTGAGAACGAAAAATGGCTACTGAGATCGGCTACCTGCCTGCCTGGCACCACAGGACCTGACGAAATGCGCAGGCTGTCTCTTATACACATCTAGATGTGTATAAGAGACAGACCATATATAGCATCTGCAACGTGCGTACGTGCATGCACATCTCATCACCATCGCATTCACTGAAACTGAGAACGAAAAATGGCTACTGAGATCGGCTACCTGCCTGCCTGGCACCACAGGACCTGACGAAATGCGCAGGGGGAGTCTCCTGCCTGAGAAAACAGTGCAAGTCAAGAATTGGGCAGGAATATAGTAAAAAAAAAAACCTGATTTCTGGATAGGTGCCCTCGCACTTGGCGTAAGTGTGATCAGGATGTGGGGGCTTCTGTCCTTGCTCCCTCCCTCAACCCGGCAACGGGTCTCCAGAAGAAGAACGCACCTTCTTCCCCCTCCGTAACTCCCATCAAACAACCGCTTCACCCAGACCTATTAAAAAACAAAGAAAAACTACGCTATTTTCTTCTCTCATTTTGTTTTTTTCCCACCTCACGCTACCGTCTTCACCCGAAAACAACGCCCAAGCGTTGTATACGAATATAACGCCCGCCGGGTGTTATATTTGTTTACAGCGCCCAGCCGTTATATTCAGTAAATTTGTGGTAACTTCGGTGAGGCCGCAAAATTCCAAAAAACAAAATTAAATAATTTTTTTTTGTAAAACAAAAATGTTGTCCAGGATTGCAATGCGACCAACTTTTGGCTGAGGGTCACTTCAGAATTCCTTATAAACTCGGAAATAAAAAATAAAAACAAAAAATCAAGCAGAAATATACCCCCTGGAAGTCAAGACACCATTCAACCCTCTTCAAAACCCATGTAAACTATAACATCCGGGCTTCTATTCGAATACAACATCCGGGCGTTCTATTCGTATACAACGCCCAGGCGTTCTATTCGAAAAAAACACCCGGGCGTTCTATTCGAAGGGGCGTTATATTTAAAAAAAAAAAGAGTAAAAACGAAAATCTCATCTTTTAGGGTAAGTTGAATATAACACCCGGGCATTATTTTCGGGTGAAGACAGTAGACACCTACATATGTCGTGCTATCTACCCACATATCTAGCATGGCGGAACTCCACATCTACTCTACTCGAAAGGGAACAGCTGTGCGCTGAAGGGGAAACTGACCATGTATGTCCGCTCTACTCCATGCAGGGAGTAGTGGCTACCGGGGGGCTCCTAACCCCCAGCGAGGGATGGCAGAATACCTCATTCCTGCCAAGACCAGCCAGGGAGGCGGGGGGGAGGGGGGCAAGCGAACTATCCAGCCTACGACCTCCTGAATGCCACTTGCCTGCTCAACCAACTGAGGGTATACTCAGACTAGGCCCTCAAAATGGCAGACTCACAAAATGAGCGGCCAGATTGACTCCTTTTAGAAGAACTTGATCTGGCCGGTGATTTTACGATTCTGAGATTTTGAGTGCCTGGTGTGAGTATGCCCTGAGCTAGGCCACTGACCTATTTCGGTGAACCGAGAAAATGCACTTTGTCGAGCCTGCTTTCGACCGATACTGCTAGTTGGCAAATCTAAGGTGGTGCCGGTAGCAGCAGTGTGTGTGACAAAGGTCGGTACTGTTTTGCGGAGGCTACGCCACTCACCAGATGTGCATGGTGAGAATGAATCGTCCCCTCGAACACGGAAAGATGCAGTCCCCTAATGATTGTCTTTTCAGCATGTGGTGCGTGCCACAAGCCGACTGCATGCAGAAAAGAGAAACGAACATGGTGTATCTCGTTTTTCTCTTTCTTCCTGAAGCCCTGCATCCTTCTATTTCTTTGGGAATATTCATCTTTTCTCTTTTTTTCCTGAAGCCTTGCATCCTTGTATTTCTTTGGGAAGATTCATCCTCGACTTGGGCCTCCCACACGCTCAGCACATGCAGAAAAGACAAAACTAACAACTTGGCTCTTTTTTGTTTTCCCCCTGAGACGCTCTATCTTTCCTTTTTTTTGTGTGTATCTTTCCATTTGTATTTTTTTTTTGTTTTCAAAAATTTGGACCGTTTCTGCTACTGTCTCTTGCGTCCCTTCCCTACATGCTGTTTGAATTTGTCTATCTCATGCCCGCCTTTGATCGGACGAGGGATCATGTCTTCACGATAGTCAAACGTCTTAGCATCACGGTGGAGGTACAATTTCGATGCATGGAACACGGGGTATGTGCGCAGATGGGTTGGCACATCAACTACGTACGAAGGGCCAAAGTGGTCTTCGCCAATCACATCCAAAACTTCCCACGGTCCGTGATAGAGTGCGAGAAGTTCAGGAGAGACCCCTTCTTGTTCTGAGAATTCAGACATCTTGACCCAGACATAGCTTCGCACCTGAATGTCCGACGGTCGGCGCCTCTTGTTCGCGTGATGGATCATGGTGTGTTGTCGCTTGGTCATGGCTGCAATGGCAACCTTGAGCAAGCGATCATACTTGGCCCTGAAGCCAGGCCTGCGGGGTGTTAAGCCAGCTGGCTGCTCAGGGAATAGGTAGGAGAGCGGATTACGGATCTGCCAACCGAGATGCAGCCTGTTAGGTGTCATGCCGGTGGCAGAATGGATGGAGTTGTTGTACAACCCCCTAACGGAATACAACTCTTCATCCCATGTTTCCTGATCCGGGATAATCAAAGCGCGGACAAGTTGGAACACAGTCTGGTTGATTTCTTCAGCCAAACCGTTGGCTTCCGGGTGTCGGCCAGATGTCATACACAGCCTGTTCCCCAGATGAGATGTGAAGTCCTTCCATTCAGTACTAATGAAGCGCGGGTCCTGATCGCTTACGAGAGTCTTCGAGGTCCCGAACTGCAGAATGTACTTTTGTTGGAACTCATGAATCACTAATTCTGTTGCTGCGTGCGGCGACAAAGGGATCAGATTGAGAAACTTAGAGAATCGGTCAACAATCACCATGACTTGTGAGTAGCCATTCTTACTTACCTTTCCCATGCCGGTGAAGTCGATGGAGACGGACTCCCCGGGACCATCGGGAATGGGAAGGGGTGTGAGTAGCCCCATGGACATTTGTCTGCATGGTTTGATTCGTTGACAAACTTGACACTCAACCACAAACTTTTCAGCAGTCCCTTTCATGCCAGGCCAATCAAACTTTCGCAGCAGATTTGCGTATGTCTTTGCCATGCCGAAGTGTCCGCTCCGGCCATGAGCCAAATCCAGAAAGTGTGTGCGGAGAGGCTTATGGTCGGGCACACACAAACGGTCGTGGTTCCCGTAGTGAAGAAAAACCAGTCCCCCATACTCGTGAAAATCGGGCTGACTGCTAGGATCAGCCCGCAACTGCTCAAGGATGGGACTAAGCTCCAGATCCTTGGTTGTGTGCTCTACGAGCTCCTCCTTCAGTTTCTTCTGGAGGTGGTAGGATTTCACAAGGCAAGTCATGTACTCAGGGTGGTGAGACAATGCGTCAGCGACTCGATTATAACAGCCCTTTTTGTGTCTCGACTAAGTCAAAGATGTCAATTTCATGGAACCAACGAATTAATGTAGGGGACAGGGTAGTTTGCTCCTTGACCCGCTTCAGAGTCTCATGATCTGAGAACACTTTGAAGTGGCGTCCCAAAAGATAGTGTTTCAATGATCCAAAGCCATATGCAGAGTATAGAGCTCGCAAATGTAAGTGGAAGCGGCTACCTTTGTGCTGGGCATGCGTTTGTTGTAAAATTCGAGTGGCCGCAAGCCATCGCCGTCATCTTGCTGCAACACTGCGCCGATTCCATACTGACTTGCATCCGTAGTAACTACAAATGTCAGTTTGGGATTTGCAATGTGGAGTACTGGGTAACTTACCAAGGCGTCTTTCAAAGCTTGAAAAGCGTTCGTGCACGCGGTGTCCCAAGAATAGGGAACATTCTTACTTGTCAGTCGAGACAATGGAGAAGCGGGGCACAAACTTTCGATAGTATGACGCAAAACCAAGAAAAGAGCGCAGTTCGCGAATATTCACGGACTTAGGCCAGTTAAATATGACCTCCACCTTGCGCGCCTCAGGCTCTAGGCCTGCAGCAGACAACCGGTTCCCAAGATAAATGACACTATCCTTCCCAAACCCAGATTTCTCTAAGTTGAGATGGAGTTGCGTCTTTTTGAGGATGGTCAGTACTTCCTCAAGGTGCTTGAGGTGTTCCTCCATGGACTTAGCTGAAGATTAGTATGTCATCGAGGTAGACCACCACGAATCGGCCAATCTGTTCGTGGAGGACTTTGTCCATGAGGCCTTGGAAGGTGGCCGGTGCGTTCGTGAGACCGAAGGGCATTACGGTAAACTCGTAAAGCCCATTGCGTGTTTTGAACGCAGTTTTGTGCTGGTCCGCAGGATCGACTTCAATCTGGTGGTAGCCAGACTTGAGATCGATCTTGGAAAAGACCTTGCACCCACCTGCGGCAATCAAGCAAGTCATCTATTCGCGGTAATGGATAGGCGTTCTTTCCTGTGATGCGGTTCAGGCCGTGATAGTCAATACACATGCAAAGTTTGCCTCCTTTCTTCGAAACAAACAAAACAGGAGCACCAAAAATATAGACTCACTAGGCTTGATCCACCCTTTGTCGATCATGTCGTCAATCTGTCGCCGGAGTTCCTCCAATTCGCCGGGTCCCATTCGGTATACGCAGCCCTTTGGAGGAACAACACCCTCGACCAACTCAATGGTGTGTAGGACCGATCGGGTGAGGACTCCACGTGGCTCGGCCATAACTTCCGGGAAACGATCGAGTAGGTTTTGGATGTTTGGTGGAACCGGTGGGGGTGGAGGATCATCAAAAGGATCACCTAGATCAGGTCGCGGGTTGCGAATGGAGGCGACTGAATCTGAAGTAGGATCATTTGGACTAGTAGAAGGTAGAGAAGTAGAGGCGCTAGAAGTAGATTCGCTTACCGAAGTAGTAGTGGTATTAACCGCAAAAGTAGATGGCACCTGAGCAGGACGAACAAAGGCAACATACAACTGTTCTTCCTCCTTGTGCTTGCGCCATTTCTTGCAGAACTTCATAGTATTTAGAAAGTCACTCGGGACTCGTGCTTCTCATGCAAGAGGACAGGAAGCTCATTCCCTCGAGCATCTTTGACCATGAAGAGTGACTCCTTCCACTTGGTCCATTCGCATTGGGACTGCAGCCAACCCAAGGCACGAACAACGTCGAAGGGGCACTTGCCAAGGACATAGAAGTTCATGCGTGGGTGACAGTTTTGTTCTTGTCAAAGGTCGTGCGCACACCTTTGACTGCATGCGTAGAAGAGACAACTTCCTTGCTGCCAACTTGGGTTCGACAAGGGTTCTGCAAGGCCACTTGCTTCATTCCCAAGCCCACTTTGCGTATCCCATGAGGTGACATAAAGTTAGCCGTCGCGCCGTAGTCAATCAAGACACGGAGATAGCGGTGGTTTATGAGAAGTTTAAAGAAGATCAGCTTCGCTGTCCCTTGGGCACGCTACTGTTTAATCTCATCCCAATGCTCCAAGTGTTATTGGAAGTCGACCCTCCCAGACTCCTCCTAAGGCTCGACATACAACACATCACACACTTCAGCCTTGGCTTCAGCAGATGATTGGGCTTCAAGGGAGGACTGCTGATCTGCATCAGATTCACTCCCCCTTGCTGTAGAGTGCGCTGAAGTCGACTCTATGCCCGGGTCTAGTTTCCCTGCAGCCTATAGCAATCCTGTACTTTATGATTTGATTTTTGGCAATGCAGGCATATCCCCTTCTTGAGTCTGCCCCGCCAATCATTTTCAATGATCCGGAGATCGACCCATGGTTTAGTGACCGCGTCCTCCGGTTTTGCTGGGATCTTAACTCCCTTGCGAAGTTGGACATAATTCTTCCCCGCATTCCGATCCGGTCCCCTTTTTCTTCTTCTTGATTTACATCAGACTCATGGGTTAACAAACAGGCTGTATCAGCGTCCTGTTCTTGGCCATCACCAAGAGTGGGGTCATTTGCTTTGGCCTCCTCTTCAACCTCCAGCAGGTCATGCACAACAAAACGGTCGTTGCCTTTGAACCGCCTGCCGCCCATGGGCTTTTTGTTGTCTGCTGTGGTGACGAGGTCTACCGCCTCGAGATTGACTATGTCCTTCATTAGAGTGAACCAGTCAGTATACCCAATGAAGTCCCTGCCTAGGCGATTAGTAAAACTGGTGGGGACTGCCCCCTTGACCACATCCAAGCAAGATTGGTCAGTCAGTTCAAGACCAGGTGTAGCAAACATCTTGCTGAGATAGGTTTGCAGGCTTTTCATGGAGCCCTTCCACTTGTTGCGTTTGATTTTGTCAAGCTGGCTTCTTGCCCTTGCTGCAGCGTGTGGATCCTTATACTGGGCAATGAGGAGCTCCTCGAAGGAGGCAGCCGGGATGGCCTTAAGCCACCTTGTCAGTTCAATCTTTGGAACCACAACCCTCATAGCTTGGACTTCTAGGAAGCCCCGTACAACCGGCTCGACATTCATTCCCATGATCACTGGCTGGGTCTCTGGCTGAGTTCCCAGCACCTCGAAGTAAGCCCTCATGGAGCTGATCCAGGATTCAATGTCTTCTTTGCCGTCGTACTTAGACGGTATTTGCACAGCCTTTCGGTCCACATGGGGCCAGCGTAGCTGGGACCAGCAACTGCTGGTTCCGATCTTAGGGCTGCAGCAATTGCAGAGTTTCCTGCCTCGTTGTTGATTACAGCAGCAGCGGAATCTGCGCCTCCCGCAGGTCCAGAGGGGTTTGCCATCACACTCAAGGAAGCAGCAGAAGTAGATAAGGTAAGAGGGGCAAGATTAGTCTCAATCGCAGCTTCGGAACCAGGGGGTAGAGGAAGAGGGTTGGTTACTTGGGCCTGTCGCAGCGCAACAACCTCTACCATCAAGTCGCGGTACTTGCTGGTCATATCAGTCAGATCCTCCTGAAGTGTCTTCAATTTTGCGAAGACGTCAGCGATCTGAGTGGTATGATCTTCAAGCCTCTGGAATTGGACGATAGCGGTGAGTATGGACTGCAGTTGTTCCCCACACTGCTCTTTGGTCAGCGAGGGAACAATTTCCAAGATGGCCTCCCGACTTTTCAGCAGCTGTTCCTTCCTCTCCTTCTCCGCTTCCTGTTCCCTATCTATAGCACTATCTAGGAGTGCTTGCATATATAGTTTCTCCGTATCGCTGGCTGCATTTAATAGGGTCCGTCATTGTCCTGAGGATAGTTGGGCCATTTTCAGACTGTTAGTGTTGGCAGGTTGGTAAGAGAGACGCCAATCAGCAAAAGAATCGATTAGACTCTCAAGAGGTACACTCTCCTTTTCACTTGGACAAACACTCCTTTTCCCAGTCCTTACCCACTCCAGACGGTCACTTCCCCCCTCTCCCTTTTCTCTCTCTCTCCTCTCCCTCTCTATTTTTCTGGTTGCGAGTCTCCACGGGCATCGGAAATGAACTCAGAGAAACAGACCGAAAAGCTTAAAGAAGAGAAGGTAGAACTCCTAGCCGGAGCGGCATTTCATTCAGACTTAGAGAGCAACAAACCAAAAGAAAAACAATCAAATTCACACGAGAGGTCTGATCCAGCGACCCAGTCTGATTAAGACTGCATACCAGCTCCGTGACCGTACAACAAACCAGACAACAAGTGACTAAATGCAACAATGGAGAATTGAGTGGTGACAGGGTGTGAGTCAAGCCACGGACAGTGCAACCAAAAGACATGCGAAACGTCTCAGCCAAGATCCCCTCGGCGGTGGGTGTCCTAACCAAGAAGAAAGAACTTTGTAACATAGTCAGAAAACAATGGGCTAATGCCTAACCGATTTGGGACCAAAGGGCTCTTCTTGTTTGGGCCCGGTCCCACTTGGTTCCGGAGGTCCCACGTAGGTCGCGACCAGGTCCCAACCAAGAGGAGTCCCTCGTGGACTTAGTTCAGTTTCTACTGTACTGGAAAAAACGAAATTTCAACTTCGGGCAAAACCTACAGACTACAACCGTTCAGCAATGAAAGACAAAGCAATGTAGAAAGACTTGGCATTTAGACCAAGATACTTCATTTTCCGTCCATCAGGTGAGTAGGTAGATCACATGCATTCAATCACACAATCAAAGGCACAGAGGAGTAGGAAAAGAAACCCAGAGTAACCCCAGCAGGACAAACAATACCATGCACACACACATGGGCATCCCGTAGGTGCACGACACTTACATGAGTGGCCTTGAGCTTCGAGATGAATAGAACTCAGCCCCCTCTCATGTGATCCTCCTGACCCCTCTAACGCTACCCCTACACTAGTGTCCTATCTCCTAGGAGGGTCTGACTCCAACACCAAAGTGCAACACCGGATCCCCCGTCGATGCTGAAGAACAAAGTAGCAACTTGCAGTCCGTAGATGCTACGTGGCCACTGACCCTCAAGCTGGTCTACTTGAGGGCAGCCCTTGAGTTGCCAAGTGTCTCCCTTGAATCAGATTCCAGGTGCGAGTGCCTCTCGCTGTCGCCTCTCTCAAATCGCCGCACGAAGTCTCCTCGAAATGTCTCGCCACCCTAATCTCACTCTCAAGCAACCTGGTTAGGTTCAACGTCGACCCTCCGTGACCTAACCAGGTGGGGGCAGCTTCCCTCAACCACGCTGCCGCTCTTCCCTTCACGAACCAACCCTAACCCTAAGTGTTGCCCTCAACCACTTAGGTTAGGGTTAGGGCAGCAAAGTCAACTCTCACCAGCAAGTAGAATCCGCTCCGATACCAATGTTATGATCCTGGCCAATGTCGAGATACACATCCATCAGATAGGACAATGCCGTCCAATTGCAGAAAGAAATGAATGAACTTGAGAGGAGAGAGAGGATTAGAAGAAGAAGAAGAAGAAGAAGATGATGTACACCAGCATAGACAAATGACAAGGCTCTTCTTCTTCGCCCAACAATCTCCTCCTCCTTATCTCCCCCTTCTCTTATTCATACAAGAAATAATAATACAATGTTGAATGCTGATCCAGAATCAATGTTCGAGTTCCTCTTCTACTGCAGGTATCACTTGAGGTGCACCATAGCCATGGCCGCCCCTCCCATTCTTCACTCTCATAGGCCGGGGCTATGGCGGACTACTAGGCCTTGCCCAGATGCCCAAAGGACAACGCAAAGCAGCTATGGCTTCTCTAGCTCAGGCCGCCATGCCCGACCCTGCCTCAAAGCTTCTTGGTGTAGCTCCCCCAGTTGGGGACTCCCTGCTGCAGCGCCCACCAAGGTGATGAAGATGGCTGCCACCATAGGCAGGTAAGTACTCCTGGTGCTCCTCCCCCTTCCTGTCCTTCTTCCTCCTCCGTGTCCTTCTCCTTCCCCCAGCAGCACTGCTCTTGGATAGCGCTGCTCCAACTGGTGCTCCAACCAGTGTGTCACCAAACTTGCACACCGAAAAAGAGGCCGGGCTCTTCGCCCAGCTGGGAGATATAGCGGCCTGCTTGCTTCTTCGGGCGGTGACTTCCAGGCCGCTCGGCCTTCCAAGCAACCTGTACCTCCTCCCTTTCGGAGGGAAACATCATTGCAGACTCTGATATTGCCCGTACAGGCCCTAGACCCAGACTGGTTGGACTGGTATCCGCCTAGACCTAACTTACAACTACTGGGCCTCTAAGAATGCCACTTTTGTCTTCTTCTGCTCGGCCTCCAGTACCCGCACATCTACCCCTTCAGGGTGCGGTACCGGCCTACCCGCTACTTGAGTGTTTTTCCTGCTGCAATCCCTCACGGCCACAGGTAAGTACCGGCCCTGAGGGCCAAATGAACGAGCAAGTGCCCTTGCGGGCCACACACACATTCAAGCCAACCAGCCCTCAGCCAGGCACGGCCACACACGCACTCAAGCCAATCAGCACTCAGACAGATATGCAGTCCAGCAAGCGTGCACACACAGACTTAGTAGCAAGCGGGAAACTCAGTAGGGCATTCAGTCGCCCGAAGCAGAAGTGGGCATTTGTCTTTTATTCCTAAGTCTAATCTCCCTCCTCTCTCCTTCGTCTGTGTATGATTCTCCCATCTCATTCTATCTGGATACGATTACGATTATTGATAATCATCAGCAGGTTGATATTCATCTGGGCTTGCATTATTGACAAGCGTCTTCACGATCTGGGTTCATTGCAAATGAAAATTTGCCCTAACAACTTGAATCTGCAATATTGTATCATTTAACTTCTCTTCTTTTTTGTGCACTGGCTCATGTGGTATGATAATATTTTGAAAAAACTTCAAAAAAGGTTGGACATGCCAGTCAGCCCTACTCAGCTTGATTAACTGCTTGTATTCAGTTACAGTATGCTTTGCAGTGTCAATTGAGTTCAAACTTCAAAGTATGTGCTATGTATTTGTTTCTTGTTTTGAATATGTGCCACATTGTGTCTGTAGCCCTCAGGTTTCAAGATCTGGTGCTCAGTCAGAAGGTGGCAATTGCTTTGAAACAAATGCGGCGGCGACGCTACTAGCGAGTGCCAAATCAGGCATTCAAGGCTGTTTGCTGTCAACTATGCCCTGGGCATCTTCATTGAACGAAGAGAAGGCCAGTGGTGAGTATGTTCGTCCACTGTGCTTTCCATGGTTCCTTTTCTGTCGACTTAAACCGCCAGTTCGTCCCCCTGTTACTGCTCATCTGTACTATTTGAACCAAGTACCGCCCCTGGGCCATTCGGCCTACGGCCGGTACAGCGTCGGTAGGCAAGGGCTGGTTGGACAGCACGGCATGCAGTCATAAGTCTAAAGGGGCAGATTTGGTGAGTGGTGTGGTGTGGCCGAAGTCAAGGCCTCACTCCGACAGTGGTGAGTGGTGTGGTGTGGCCGAAGTCAAGGCCTCACTCCGACAGTCAATGTCCAAAACGAGAATGAATCTACCATACAGAAAACTGACAGATACGGAGACTCAGGAAAAAACAAATGAAGAAGATACACCGTGTCCTAATTTCTGTGTTTTGAACTGTTTTCTGCTTTTGGTGAGGTATGTGGCACAAGGATGACACAAATCGAGAAACGGTCGAAAATTTTGGAAACAAAAATAAAAGACAAATGGAAAGATACCTGAGTACAGATCTGGGCCGCCCGGCCGACCGACGCCCGCCCGGGGGAGGTCCCGGGCTGCCTGGCCGGGCGGGGGGCCCAGTTGGGGGCCGGGCACCCCCAGCACACCTTGTTGGCGGGGGGTTTCTGACCCCACATTGGGTGGTTTTGGCCTCCCCAGGGCCTACCGGGTCCGACCACGCCGAGAAAACGGCGCGTCGGGCCTGTTTTTTTTTTTTGAATTTGGGATGGCCCTCTGGCTGTCGATCATCCATGATCGACGGCCAGAGGGCCGTTCATTTTTGGAGGGAAACGGAGGCCCCGTTTGAACTAGCGACTGGCTGGGGCGGCCTGCATTGGCTGTCCAAACGTGACCTCGATAGCTGCTCCAGCCGCCTGCGTTCATGCTGCTGCCCCTCGTCGCCATCTCGTCGCCCGTCGCCCGTCACCAGCGTCGTCGATCGTGGTGCTCCTGCCTGCCGACATCCCCTGCCGCCCGTCGACGTGGAGTGCCGGTCTTCTTCTTCTTCTTCTTCTTCTTCTTCTTCCCTCCTCCTCCTCCTCCTCCGCTCGTTCTTCTGCTTCTTCTTCTCTCATCCTCCTCCTCCCCATCTCTTCTTCTTCTTCTTCTTCTTCTTCTTCTTCTTCTTCTTCTTCTTCTTCT